CAAGAACGAGCGGAAGAAGCCACTCGCCGGCAGCCCCAGGCCGCGCATAAGGTGCGAGCGGAAGATGACCCGCTCGCCCTCCTCCGGCGCCGGTCGGGTCTCCCCCTCCGGCGCGGGGCGGGCGCGCACGAGGTCCACGCTGGGAAGACGGCGTGTCTGGCGGAGGAACTCGATGTGTTCCTCCTCTACCTCCGAGCCGTCCCACACGCCGGAGCGCACGGCGGGGGCCGCGGCAGAGGAAGAGCTCATCGCCGTGGTGTCGAGTGCTCTCGCTCAACGGCGGAGGCAGGAGGGAGAGAAGGCAAGATGAGGCGGGGGAATGGGGGAGAAGGGCGCGCGTGCGGTGCCGCTCCGCTCCCCCCCCTGCCTACTTATAGCCCTATGGGCTGAGAAGCCGAGGGGGCGGGCGTGGGATTAACTGCGCGCGATGCCCCACGCCGCCCCACGATTTACCCCATGAAGTTACTGCCCGCAGTAACAACGTGGGAAAACCAACCGTCCACATACGCAACGGATCCGTTCATATGCCGAGGCACGGTAGTGGAGGGCCCCGCCTGACGGCCCGTCCCGTCGCGCGCGTGGGCAGGCAGACTGTCCTCTCCACGTGGCGCCACGCGATAGGACTGCCCCGATGGCAGCAGGGAAGCGTATCAGGCACGCAGCCTGGTTTCCCGCCGCGACTTTCAAGCTGCGGCTCCTCGCTAGAAAAAATCAGACTCTCGACAGTCGCCCAAGAGAAGACGGCAGCCGAGTTCCAGAGTCCGCTCCGGGGAGGTTGAAACTATTGAAGCCCCACAATGCAGCGTCCGCAGGGCTTCACCAGCTTTGGGGACTACTATCGGAGTAATGGGCCACATGTATGCTAACCCGAGTCCCAAGACCTTTCAAGACATCGGGGCAAACCGCGCCCCTCAGGCCGAGTCCCAGGAGCCGACTCCAAGACAAGCCGAGTCCCAGACGGCGACTCCGAGATAAGCCGACTCCAAGCTGGCGACCTCCAGAGAGGCCGACTATGGAGAGTCGGCCCATGACTCCTCCCTCATCTCGAAGTACGATGCGGGGTACAGTCACGGCGTGGCCGTTCCCCCTGCTTACGAAGGGCCAGCATGGCTACAGTGAGCTGTATCGCTGGAAGATCTCCGGCGAGGCGCGACACTGTTGCCATGCCTGCCCTGACCTCAGCCACAGTGCGCAATGCACTGTGCCCACGACGCCGGCCTGTACGACCCGAAGACCGCGGGGCCGCCTGTCAGTGGGTGGACCGAAGGCGGCCTGAGCGCCCCGAAGACGGACCTGTGGGAGTCGGCCTCCCTGGAGTCGGCCGACTCCTCCCCAGGGCCCCACGAGCCATTAACCAGATAGGATGGGGAATGGCAACAGTGATCGCCTGATAGACGGCAGCACTGTTGCCACGACCCCATGACCAAGCCTGCATCATCAGGAGTGCCGCTACAGTATCAAGCCTGTCCGCGGGACCCGCCAGTCGGCGGGCCCCAGAAGCCGGCGGGAAGGACGGAGGTCTGAGAGACAGACGGCTGGGACCCGCGCCCAGCCGGATTACCATTGTACCCCCGGGGGGTAGGCCTATATAAACCCCCCGGGGCACCCATGCAAAGGGTTCGGACCTTGATAGAAATAGGCCAGATAGCGTAGGGAGGAGAGAGCTAGCCTTGCCCTCTCCTGCCTCCTGATACAGCTCCAGGAGCACCATTGTAGTCACTTTGCCTTAGTGATCATGAGGAGACCCCGCAGAGCAGCAGTAGGGGTGTTATCTCCTCGGAGAGCCCTGAAGCTGGGTAAGATTCGCCGGCGTGCATGTCTTCGCCTCATCCCGTTTCCAGGCACCGGCGATGTTCTACTCGCCCCCACCATGATAAGCCATCCTTTGGCATATGTCGCACCCAACCCCCGACAAGATAAGCGTGAGTGCTATGGATGGCGTTCTTGTAGGAAGACGGGAGCGGATCCATAGTGGTGTATTGATATGGTGAATATGTGGACTCGTGTGCGCCACCTCAAAAGAGTTACTTGCAGTCGTAGTTTAGGATAGCCACCGAGTCAAAGCTGGCTTGCTGCAGTTAAACCCCACCATCCCCTTTGTTGATAATGATGCAGGTGTAGTTAGTTCTTATGTAAGTCTTGCTGGGTACATTTGTACTCACGTTTGCCTAATTTACGTTTTTGCAGAGACTTCCGTCTCACTAGTAGTTCTGCGTGGACTTTGACGTTTAGCTTGTTACCTCAGCTACAATCTTGTGCCCTCGGCAGGATCTGGTAGATATTCCGGCTTCTCAGCCTTTTTCATTTGTAGATGTCTGTACCCAGGCATGTTAAGCTTCCGCTTGTGCTTTGACTTGTATGCTCTGAGTGTTGGGTCATGAGACCCATGTTTGTAATATCTAGCTCTTCGGAGCCTATTGAATAAATACTTGAGTTGTAGAGTCATGTTGTGATGCCATGTTGTATTTGCACATATCGAGCATATTGTGTGTATGTTATTGAAATGCTTGGTATGTGTGGAATCTGACTATCTAGTTGTTTATCCTTAGTAGCCTCTCTTACCGGGAAATGTCTCCTAGTGCTTCCACTGAGCCATGGTAGCTTGCTACTGCTCCGGAACACTTAGGCTGGCCGGCATGTGTCCTTCTTCGTTCCTGTGTCTGTCCCTTCGGGGAAATGTCACGCGATGAAAACCGGAGTCCTGTTAGCCCGCTACAGCCCGGTTCACCGGAGTCCTGCTAGCCCAGTGCTACAGCCCGGATTCATTCGCTGATGACCGACACGTTCGATGCTGGGTCATGGATGCCTGTCCCTGTAAGTTTGTGTCACTTTGGGTTTACGACTAGCCATGTCAGCTCGGGCTCCTTATCATATGGATGCTAGCGACACTATCATATACGTGTGCCAAAAGGCGCAAACGGTCCCGGGCAAAGGTAAGGCGACACCCGTGGGGATACCGTGCGTGAGGCCGCAAAGTGATATGAGGTGTTACATGCTAGATCGATGTGGCATTGAGTCGGGGTCCTGACAGTAACTTCATCATCACCGTCACCACGCCGTCATGCTGACGAAACTCTCCCTCGGCCTCAACTGGATCAAGAGTACGAGGGACGTCCCCGAGCTGAACGTGTGCTGATCGCGGAGGTGCCGTACGTTCGGTACTAAGATCGGTTGGATCGTGAAGACGTACGACTACATCAATCGCGTTTTCATAATGCTTCCGCTTTCGGTCTACGAGGGTACGTGGACACACTCTCCCCTCTCGTTGCTATGCATCACATAGATAGATCTTGCGTGATCGTAGGAATTTTTTGAAATTACCGCGTTCCCCAACAGTTATCTTGAACATACCACTGAGTTCCAGAGTACAACATGATTTTTGGGCATGGCACTATGACAGGAGGGGTGTCTTCTCTGTCAGATTAGCCTATAAAATGCTAAGTGGGATTAGGCAACAGCGAGAAGACTGGCTCGAGCAGAGGACGGGCCGGTCAAATGTGGTAGTTGAGCGTCATTCCTGGTCACAGTTGTGGAAGGTTAAAATACCATCAAAGGTGAAAGTTTTTGTATGGCGTCTGTCACACATGTCACTGCCAACGGGAACTGTAACACATGAGAGGAAGATGGCGACCTCGCCGGCCTGCTCTATATGCAACTCAACTGAAGATTCTTGGCGGCACTCGTTGTTTGACTGCTGCATGGCGCGGTGCGTTTGGGCCCTAGGGGATGAAGAAGTTCTTGAGCTTTTGCTATCCAACAGAGTGGATGATGCCCGCCTTTGGCTGTTTTGGCTGTTTGAAACGTTGAACCAACAAGACCTGGCAAGAGTGCTCATTACAATGTGGTCGATTTGGTGGGCGAGGAGGCGTGCAATACATGATAACGAGTTTCAGAGCCCTCTGTCAACTATGTGCTTCATCAATAGGTATTTGGAGGACTTGGAGATTGCTTCGGTGAGGACCATACAACCAACTATGGGGCAGCCCAGCCTCGTGTGCAGAGGTGGATCGCTCCGGGTGAAAACTCGACAAAGCTAAATGTTTATGGAGGACTTCCAGCAATGGATGCATGGGCGCTGCTACAGCTGTTTGTCGAGACAAGAAGGGCAAGTATCTGGGAGCCTCGGCGACGATCTTTGAAGGACTAGTTGATGCACCAAGTCTGGAAGCTTGTGCATGCAATGAAGCCCTCTCCCTCGCAAAGGATCTCAACATATCACATCTGATAATAGCTTCAGATTGTATGTAGGTTGTCTCGGATATCAACCAGGGTGCGCAATCATCTTATTCCATGATTCTAGATGAGATTAGAGATAGAGTAAACGATTTTGTTAAAGTTACTTTTTGGTTCGAGGTTAGGGAAGCGAACTTTGAAGCTCATGCTTTGTCAAAGGCAGCTTCGTCGCTTCCGGAAGGTCGCCACATGTGGCTAGGGATCCCCCCAAATATTATTTGTATTCCGGATGTTTTGATCAATGAATAAAATCCCTAGTTCCCCTAAAAAAACTTTATTGTTTTTTGTCTTACTAAAAAAAAGTTGTCTAAAAAAATAAAAAAAAGGTTTATTGTTTATTTTTGTATCCCTATTTTTTATTGGTCTTACTTTTAAGTTAAAAAATACGAACTAAAAAATGTTCAGGACTAAACATTGTTCGCAGATTTAAAAAGAAATGACGGATTGAAAAAAAAAATTATTTACGGATTTGACAAAAAGTTCGCGAATTAAAAAAAATGCTGATGATGTGCATATTTGAAGCTTTTGTAATTGGGATGTTTTTTTTTTGCGGCATGTGTTGATCCTTTTTGGCATTGGACTTTTTGGGTGATATGCATGATGTGATAATTCGTTGTTGCATATGTCTGGAGTCATTAGCAATTTCTGCGGGTCCTATGATCCACCCACAATGTCAGTGTGGAAATTTGCTCCTGTATACATTAGCATTATGCTTCCATCGTACGAGGTCAAGTGTTGTTTTCCCATCAAGAAGTCACAGTGGAAATTTACTCCATGTACACAAAGATCCACTTCATTAGTTCACATTTCCCAGTCTTGCTTCTTTCTATACAACCTTTTTTGTCCTCCCATGGTATGTATTCTACAAGAACAGGGACATACATATCTTGAACTTTACACTGACGAACCATGTATGGCAACTCCTTCCAGTTCTAAACTGTGTTGCTAAAGTTGCTATACATTTTTGAAGGGTACAACGCGACACCCGGGAATTTACAAGGATCATAACTACTACATGTACATGTACAAGAGACGAGCAACGCCAGTCGACTCTTTCCATGCTCTGGTTACTTCAGACACATGTTCTTGCAAGACAGCTTTACACACTAGCTTACAGTAAGTGGAATGCCCACATAACAAATGCTATTTACCCTTTTCTTAATCTGAGGGCTCGGTTAGCTTATCCTTAAATGGTAAGGCGGCTGATGATGATCCTCTTTGCGCATAATTACGCGTCTGGGATCACCTTTGCCCCATTCGCAACATATGTCATTGGATGATAGAATCCCAGTGGTGAAAAAAGAATTATCTGGTTTGGCGACTCCAGGGATTATGTGCCAGGGAAAGGTCCGCCCGAACTGGAAAGCATTATGAACGCACAGACGACAGAGAGTGAGAACACGGAAACCCATGTATTCTCTGTGTACATCTCCATGGCATCTGTGAAGGAGATGCGTGTTCGACTTTCAGCCCAATTGCGAATTCTATCAGCCTCGGCTGCATATACTGCTCTCCCCTGCAATCGGTAAACTACCGGTCAGAATCTGCAACAGATACATCAACAGAATGGAGGGTGTTATATTATACTCCCTCCGTTCCCAAATACTTGTCTTTCTAGGCATTTCAAATGGACTCAACATACAGATGTATGTAGACATATTTTAAAAGTGTAGATTCACTCATTTTGCGCCGAATGTAGTCACTTGTTGAAATCTCTAGAAAGACAAGTATTTAGGAACGGAGGGAGTAGAAAGAAGCAGGCTACCTCTTCGTCAAACCATCGGCCTCGGCGAACCCATGCAGTAACCAAGGCAAGCAAGATTCTTGGTGGTGTCAAGTAGTTTACTGCCTTTCCACTTCCTTTCACAACTCGCATTCTTGGAACCAATGTCCTTGCTACTGTTTCTGGAAGCTCGCATATTATATTGAACATCTGTTTATTTTGGAGAGATGAGCCACTGCAAAGAATAGACTGTAGGTTAACAACAGGAGGGGCGTGTATATATTATATATAAGGAGAGAGTTACAGAGTACAGAATGAATTTATTTTTTCTTGCGCCAATCGAATCCCCTGGCATCTGAAGAAGTCAAGTAACTTAGAGGTTACCTTAGAAGGAGATCTGTAAGGACCATGCCAGGAGATGCAGTGTGTACTCCAACTTTTGATCTTCTGCTTTCCTTCATAAGCGATGCTTGGAACTGCCTTAGTCCACACTTAGTTGAGCCATAACTGTAAAATTGCAAATCAGCATCAGATTTAGTTTCATTGTAAAAGCAGGAGCGTCAAAAACAATGCATCATCAAGTTTTAGACAACAAGAAAAGCAGGACACATCATCTCTACAATGTAAGTGTTAAAGAAATGCGTAGCAGATAATTCGATGGCTGAGGTGCTTACACAGCTGTCAACGGTGTGCTTGATCCTCCAGATCCTGCTCCATCCATGTTGAATACATGACCTCCCTTCTCTTGGTATTGCATGACATCCATAGCTTCTCTGGTGCAGAGCAAAGAACCAACTAGGTTTGTTGAGACGATCTGCAAGTAAACCAAGGAAAACAGTTTTAAGGAATAGTGAAATCAGATTGGATGATCGAGCATGATCGAGCTAGTTATAGTTTCCTGTCATTAAAAGGAAGCATTACGGACAGATGGAAGATATCAATGAACAAACCTGGGTAATATCTTCATCTGAAAAATTTACCAGTGGCCTGAAACCTTTGTTTGTGCCAGCATTATTTATCTGTAGATAAATTAAAATATCGTATTTAGAGCAGTCTACAACGCAAATACAGAATAAAATGAAAGGGTACAAGTCAGTAAAGTTGTACTTTTCTACTGAATCTAAGTGACTCTTGAGGTGAAAAATGCAGAACAGATGCCTAGCGGCATCCATTTCTACAGAATTACTTACCCAAATGTCAATTGAACCCAGCTCACCAACAGCAAAATTTACAAGCTTTTTTACATCTTCTGGTTTGCAAACATCACAAGATGTACCAACAACCTTAGCTTGTAATAAAGTTTCTCTTTGTTTCTTCTTGGCAACTGACAAGCCCTCCTGTATGTTCTCTTCAAGCTCATTGATGGTCTGAAGAACTGAATCAGGGCTGCCAATTGAAATGGAGATAGTAAGAAAACTAAGACAGAACATTGAACTAAAATTTGAGCATTATGTCAAGGACTACCACCTGCGGGAAGCAATTACAACATGATCTCCAGAAAGAAGAAACTCCCGAGCAAGTGCTTTTCCTAACCCTCTTGTGCTGCCAAAATAAAAGTACATGGTCAATGATGATCATAAAAATAAATAACAATGAAGAAACAGCTTCCCATGGATGCAATCAGTGGTGTCAGATCCATGAAACAACATCCATCAACTTTTACTTCACAGGTTTATAAGGCAACTAATTTAGGGGATCATAATATATATAACCGCAGATCATAATCTCCTTTATAAACCAACAAAGAGATACTACAAGACTTGTACTCAACTTATGCAATCTGTAGAAAGAGGATACTGAGGTGAAATAGTATTTCCTATCAACTTATCTTGGAGACATTCATTAGATTAGATTATTTGTTTTGTTCTACTCCCTCCGTTCCAAAATAGATGACTCAACTTTGTACTAACTTTAAAGTTAGTACAAAGTTGAGTCATCTATTTTGGAACGGAGGGAGTATATTAAGAGCACACACACTACTTCCTGGGAAAAGATTCACATGGCAATGTCAGAAGAAGAATGTTAAATGTGCTACCTTCCCGTTATGACAACATTGCGAGGTCCAGCTTTACAGTGTTCCTCTAGGACACTGTTTGCACCTAGCATTGTGCCGATAATTACTCCACCAAGCCAGCTATACCAAATTAGTGCATCCGTTTGGCTGTCTCCACCTAAATACAGCGGTAGACACATTAACTGAAATCCTACGGGTGCTTTATATGAAACAAAGAGAAAGGCAGAATACAAAGGCAATGCAGTGGATTGTACAAGAGTATATGACTGACCTGATAACTGAAATCCAACTGCTAGTACAACACCACTGCTCATCATAGTGATGACATATCTGCCTACCTGAGTAGCAACCTGAGAGGAGAAGGAAATCAGTGAATACAGATCATCTATGTTTCAGAAAAGGAGTACAATGTGTGATCTGTTTCAGAACAAAAAAAAGATGAAATTCTTTACTGTTGAGCATGCAAAGAGTCAACATGGCAATTGTAAGTATATACCACATGACTGGACAGCTCAAATGGATAATATATGAGTAGGCACGATGCAGCCAATCTAAGTAGCAACAAATTTTGAACAGACCTTGCGAATAAGCAGATAACGCACAGGCAATTAGGTTAGAATCATGTGACAGTGGACATTTTGTTCAGAGTCACAAGTAGAATGACACGACCAACATCAAACCATATCCTCATCCCACCTCACCATATGACTCTTTAAACTAAAAAAAAAACAGTAACGTTTAGCTTGACTACACACCGTTCACACAGCAATTTTAGGCTCCCAATGTGCAGTTTTTTTAGATGACTAAGATTTAGCAACAACAACAAAAAATACAGGCAACATAGAATTTAGCAAAATCGAACACGCCCATCAGCGTCTCACACATCTAACGTGCCACATCGATTGTGCCACTGCTGGTGGGTTGGAATCCTAAACTCACTAGAAGAGAAGATCAACTAGAACCTAGGCCCTGGAACATATGTAGGACCATTTTCAGCATTTGATAGGAGCAATTCTCGCACCCATGCAGCTTAATTACGATACCTATCCCCGTATCTGCATATGCATAAGTTAACCAAGCACCAAGCAACCGATCAATCGAAAAAAATTAACCATATCATCTAGAGCAACTGCATGTATCGGGCAATCGACGGTTCGCGAACGGAGAGCTCACCGAGAAGAAGATCTCCTCGGCCTTCTCGACGGCGAGCTCGTACTGTTGCTGCCCGCCATACACCTCCGCCGCCGCCGACCGGGACCCCGCGAGCCCCTGGATCGCCGCCTTCAGCGTGTACAGCGGCCCCTTCCTGCACTTCCGCGGCTCGTTCGGTGGCGACGACGGCTTCTCGTCGTCGCCGCCGGCCTCCTGCTTGAACGCGCGGCAGCGGAGGAGGGAAGGGCGGTGGCACGCCTGAGAGACGACGACCTCCGGCGAGCGGCGGAGGCGGGCGTGGACGGAGAGGTGGACGACCGCGGCGGCCATGGCGCGCTTCCCCCGGAGGAGATAAGGATCCTGTGCTCTTCCTCTCGCTCCGGTCGGTTCTCGCTCGTACTGTGCGCTCCTTTTTGTTTGTGTGGGGTTGTTTTGCTCCTTAATTTATGGAGGGGCGTGTGCCTTGCACTTGCCAGTGAATAAATAACTCCGTAGATTTCCACGGAGAAAATGGAGCTCAATTTGTGGATACAAGCTCGGACTAATTACATATTATGCTTGGGTCCAGTGGGTTCTCTTTGTCTTCTACAATCTCCGTGACATACACTCATTTCAACGGCAGTTAATTCAGGATGGAGGGAGGAATTTATTAAAAGAAATAATTTAACTCAAAAACATAAAAAAATTCTGTTACCAGTGAAAAAGTAGTGTGCAATATCATTGAGAGAAAAATGTGCTCACAAAAAGTTGCTTGATGTAAATGCGCTCGCAAAAGTTGGAAGTTCTCAGGCTGGTCACAATGGGGAGGAACTTAGAAGTAACATCACACACTCCAATACAACTTTGCTTATGTGGCACATATTTAATGAAGAGAGGTGCTTGTGGTACTTCCTCTGTCCGGGTTTATTAGGCCTAAAGACAACTTCTCTTAGACCAAGACACATATTAATTTGCTCACATTAATTCTTCTATTCCACTCCCAATGCACTCGCTCACATGCATGCAGCCAATAAAAAAGCACGCATGTAGTGTATTAATTTTTCAGTCATGGCACCAACAACAATGGTTTTCAACGCAACCAATGAAATGGTTGCATGCATGCACATTTCCAAAGCGGGGCCTTATAAAAAGGAACATGCTTGTGATGCTAAGAGGCCTAATAAACCCGGACGGAGGGAGTAACTACCTAAGTTACCGGAACATCACACACTCAAAAAACAATGAGTCTATAACCTAATAAATACATTGTTGCATGACACTACATAGATGTTCCTACCCACTATGGAGGTAGTAACATAGTATAGGAAAGTGTGTAAGTTACTAGTTTATGTTCTTGCCCATTGTGACCAGCCTTAGGATCATAGATTCTCTCTTTTTGTTACCAAAAGTTGTTTGATGTAAATTGTTTATGTTATCTTGCAAGGTTGTTGTTTTGTTCCACTGCACATTATTTCTCTCTTTCTATATATACTTCCTCGCAAACAAAAACTATTCAAATATTGCAATGTAGCCAACCATACTTAGAAACTTCGAAGTATCGTCAAATCATCAAGTGCCAATTTGTATTTAAAAACAAATTGCATCCAAGAAACTTTCAACACTGTGTACAATAGCGGTGCTACGAATCCAATCATGTGTAGCCAATTGAAAATTGAGTAATATGCATTAGTCTATTTTTTTACATAATTTCATCTCATAGTATGTATGAGATTTTTGCCAAAAAATGTCGTCTGGTCAATTGACTACACAGATTGTGGGTGGCTTCGCCACTGACTGCATGATATTAGATAGAGTGTCGGATTAGGCCATTGAGAACCATAATATCGAATTGTTGACAGTAGATAGATTATGTTGGATTAGTGAATTAATCATAAAAAAATATGTCGTGTTTTCTAAGATAGATGCATGAAAGAAAATCCGTTCAGTCAGCTTTTCCCGTTTCTATGCATGTTTGCTTTTTTCCTTTATTAGTCTCGTTTTCCTTTATTTTTATGTGTATTTGTGGATGTTAGGTGTGTGTAATGTATATAGTGAAGTACTCCCTCCGTCCCATACTATGAGACATCTTTGTATGCTAACATAACTTACAAAAACGTCTTATGGGACGGAGGGAGTTCTATACAATGCGTGTAAAGTATACTAGAGTGCAAAATTTTCATTATTATATGTTTATTATTGCAAGTTATAAAAAGAACAATTTGTGTGCTAATTGCGTGCAAGTTATTGTCATCGTTTATTTTAAGTTTTTTTTGTTTTTCTTTAAGGTTAATACGAATGCCACTAATTCATTCTTTCTTGAAAAACTTTGTCTTTTGAAAAAAATAGTTTCTATTTTCATATTTTATAGGGATAAGATGAATGGCGGTCGTTGATTTCCAATCTAATGGTCCCAACGAATTTGACTGAACACCAAAAGAAATTCAAGCGCCAGATGAATACTCGACCCCTTTAGAAGGGCATAGATTTCATTCAATGCCAAAGAAAAATACATTAGTAGCAATTGGCATCGCAGCATTTAGTCATGGTCTTGTGAATTTAGTCATGGTCGACATCTTTGATTCTCGAGAATCGTTTTGATTTGTGTTGCTCTTACCATCATTTTTCGGGTGAGATTTTTACAGTCGAGATCAATTGGTGCCGCATTCTATTCATAATGCACATGATGAATATGTTTGAATCATAAAGTTTGTCCATGAGCAAATCTTAACGCAGTGATAGTTTCCAACGCAGTCATGACTTAAAATGCGTCGGGAAAGGACGGCAATTTGTCAAGAAACAAGGAGAAGTACCCCGTTGTAATGACCCTCTTGGTCGTGGGTTTACATAAAAATGTGCAAAAAAAAGGACATGCCGGTTCGACCGGCACTAAATGACACTCGACTGGTACCATGTTCAATTTTTTTCCATGTACGTAAAAGAAAAGATCATGGCCGGTACGGCACGACCACGCCGCAACGGGATAAACGAGCGCCCATACGTCCGCTCCGATCGATCGGCCACGCGGAAATAAAAGGAGAAGGAGAGAAATATCAAGCAAGCCAAGCAGGGAGACGGCCACACGTTGAAGCAACCTCATCTCCCCGGGGATAGGCGCCACGTAACCGCTGCCGGGTCCACCGCCCTGGTCGCTTGCTTTTGGGGATCACACTCCCCTTTGGCAAGCTGAATCAGCTCAGCTGCTACGGCCACCGAGGCGCGCGCCGCGACCACGGGCTAGGAATCTCACCGCCGGCCGGCCGGCCTTGTGCCATGGGGATATTTCTCCTCTGCCAAAGGTCTAGAAGTATCTGTGTATATTCGTCTACTCAGTGTCCTACTGGTACTGCCTTTTTGTAGGATATTTTGTTGAAATGATCGTTTTTGTAAGATATCAGTGGCAGATATATCCAATGCTGGGACCAATGTGATATAAGCAACAAAACGGCGTCGCCTTCCGGACAGACGCGCCACCAAATCCAAACTCAGAGAAAGAAAAAAGCTCCCATAATGAGGAGTGCAATACATATACGGTATGCATATATGCTAGGGCATTATCAGGCGTGTAGGTTTTCATCGGTAAAAGAAACAAAACTCGGTTCCTAGCACCACGCATGCTTTTCCAATCGAGCAAGCTAACCGTACCAGAAAGGAGGGAATTTTGGTGCGCAAATCAGGTCCAGGGCGAGGTTTCAGTCTGTACCTAATATGGCCACGCAAGTCCGTATGACCGTATATGTCACACGCACCGTGCGTTTCAGCCGTGCAGATGTCTACTGGCACATGGGCGCACGGCCGCCGTGCACGGAACCTCCGCCAAAGGCAACGGAGGGGGAAGCATTCTGGGCGGCGAGCCGGGCTGTTTGGCACGCAAGCTAGCGGACCAGGGAACTCGTGGACGGCCTAATTCTGGGCTGTTGTGCGGGGCTGGTCAGTGACAAGCGTTCGGTTCAACTGTTCGATTTGACAATCTACGCGGAGTTGATTGATTTTTGGTTGATTGGACTTGATATATGCGTACACTCAACAGCAAGCATAGCACTAGCAGTAGCGGACGGGTGTTTGATGTCTCTACGTAATCCAAGATGTTATGGTAATACTATGTGTCTCATTTATATCATAAGGACTTCTTGCACACAAGTAGTAGTGTACGAGAAGAGATGCGAAGTAGTATCACAAACAATGCAGGGCGTTAGAAAGGGAGCAAAAGAAATTGAAGTACATACCAGCATGATCAGTGTTGATCAAATTGTGATGCTAAGAAATCTTAACGCCTGATTTCGTTAGTGCTATAAACATTTGTGAAGTGAGGTATTGATTTTTACCGGAACAAGTTCTAAGTTTTTTTTTTTGAGGCAATAGAACAAGTTCTAGTTGAAGCACCAAGTCTAGAATCATCTTTGTGCCCGCTGTTTGGGCCAACCTCATAACCAAAATACAAGAAGAGGGGTGGAAAAAGTACATGGATCCAATTCAAATTCTTCATCAAATTTGAATTTTGTTGTTCATTCGTGGCGTGATCACCTTCAAGTGCATTCAACTGCAGTTAATTTCAAAGCGGGAGCTCTCCTCATATTTCCCCTAATAACGTCGCGGCTGGAAGGCCAACGCATAGGACCAGTCAATCTGATGATCTGTTTTGCGTTAGATGCCTCCAGTTGAGCCACCTTCGGCCCGCAGGCACTAATAGGATCAAATGTAGGGCCTGCAAAAGATGGGGCCACATAGCCAAATATTGTTACATCACTTCTAGGCCCAACAACACTTCTACATTGTTCTCGACCCAGATATGAGTTGTTGTTGAATAACACCCCCACCCCTTCATGGATGTTCGCATTATCTTTCAAAAGCGCAATGAAGGAATGAATTGGAAGAAATTTATACTGAATAGGGAGGTTTGGGGCCTTCCATGTGGTTTTCCTTTCGACAGAAGATGTATGCATGAATTTGCTAATGCGGTGAGGAACCTTGGTAGATTGGTTCATTGTGATAGAGTTAAGAGCACCAAAGCTAACTTGATGGTTAAGGTGAGAGTGGATGAACTTAGGGATATCTCTGACAACATTGTTGTAGGAGAGGGAGAGGGTTTTCAGACTGAATCACACATTGTGCATGTAGTCATTTTAAAGCAAAATATGCTGGGAGCTGAGGCTCTAAATGAAGATCCTATCCCACCATTTGGTAACCCTCTCCCCAGACCAGTGCAAGAGCATTTTCATCCAAACCAATACAATCATTTTCCGCCCCCCCTGCAAGACCGTGAACTGGATGATTGATACGTCTCCAACGTATCTATAATTTTTGATTGTTCCATGCTAGTATATTATCAATCTTGGATGTTTTATATACATTTA